CCAGAGGGGGACGAGATTGCCGTCGGGGCTGGCGCGGAGGAGCCGCTGGTACCTGCTGGCGTCTGCGTGAGGCCTGACCTCTCCTCGGAATCAGAGGAAGAAGTGGACGTTCTGAACTAGCAGCCCCCGGGCCTGCACTACTGTGGAGGATGAGGCTGTGGGGCAGCGCAGCGGGCTGGCCATGGAGAGCTGGGAGCTCTGTGGAGCCTGGTAGGGGGAAGAGCTCCCCCAGGGCTGATGACCTCAGCGGGGGGAGGCACAGCTGGGGCAAGGCCAGGGTGGAACTGCAGTAACCCCCCCCCCCCAACCCCGGGAATGGGGCTGAGTTACTCATAGCCACCCCAGTGGGGCCTGCTGCAGGGGTGCTCTGCTGACCTCTGCGGTTGAATTAAACTTACTGCTGCTTCCATGCTGCTGAGCAGTGAGTGCTTGCAGGGAGATGGAGGGGAGAGAACAGCCTGCCCCTGTCAGCTGGAGCATCCCTCCCCCCCATGTGGACTTGGGGGGGGAGGGGCAGGGCTGCACATGGTGAAGAGGCTTTTTCTGCTGTCACAGCCATGATAGCAGAGCAGGGTGGGCGCCAGGGAAGGAATGCATGGACCCCACGCAGTGGAAGTAGCAGTGGGAAGGGCAGCCAGCACCCTTGTGTTCTGTACAATGTTTAAAGGCAGCAGAACTGTGTTCCCCAGGAGTCAACTCTGTTCCTGCCTGGCTACACCCTAACACCAGCCCGGCTCCCTCCTTCTCCATTATCCCATTGCTGCCCCGGCACTTGGGACAGGTCACCTGCTGGGCATCTAAATCCAGAGCTGGCCTTTTCCTGTAGGGGGACCCAGCTCCCCTTCCTTGCTGCTCGCTGTGGGGCATGCATCCCTCTGCTGACAGCACAGGCCCCCAAAGGCAGTCTCTGCACATAACATGGTTCTAATGAGAGCTTCCCTTGCCCCCACAGCTGCATGTGTTTTCACCTGCCACGCCTCCCTGGGAGCCCTGCTGGTTTTGTGACAGCAGCCCTGTCCACCTGGAGCCAGGTGAAAGCTGGGAGAACCTGCAGTAAGAGGCCAGGGGCTTGTTTGTAATACTTGAACTGGTCTAGTTCTACTGGATTTGCCCCTCACCTGGGCTGCAGCACTCTGCTTTCCTAGCTGGGCTGTGAGAGCTGCCAGGGGCCATTTCCTCCCTCTTGCTGGGAGCAGGCCACCTGGCAAGACTCTGCCCTCTTCCTCCAAGGCATGAACATGTCCCTGCCCAGGCTGCTCCCCCGCTGCCTGCAAGCAGTGCCCAATTAGGGGGGCTAGGAGAAGGCACAGTCCAGCTGACAAGGCTGCCCACCTGCATGCCCACCTCTAAGCTGTATCCCCGCCTCCGCGGCACTTACACATGGCTCTACTTGAAACTTTATTACAAAAACATAGCCACAAAGCAATGAAAGAGCCTTTGCTTGGGAACGCCAGAGGACTGGCTCTGGGAGCAAAGGGCAGTGGTGCTGTCAGGCCCACCACTCCTGCAGCTTGAATGAGGTTGCCCTTAAGCCTGCCGCCTGAGAGGAAGGATGGTCCAAAGGCCTGGGCCCTAGCCCAACCCCTGCATTCACTCGTATGACACACTTGTATGACCTTAATGCCCCTTCCCCCCATGGAAGGGGTCATCCCGGAACCCACAACTCGGGGAGAGAACGCAGTGTGTGGATGGGGGTTTCTGCTGAAGCACCTCCCACCTCTTTGCTCCTCCCCACTGAGTTTTTGATGGTTCCAGCTGTGCTGCCGACGCCAGGAAAGGCCACCTCACCCTCACAGCAACAGCCAGCGCCGCCTGGGCTAGGTTTACTCTCCAGGCGGACGTCTTCTCACTGCCCTAGCACGAGCCTGCCACAAGTGCAGCACGTCCAGTGAAGGCAACATGCTCCTCAGCAGGTATTCAATTAGGCACAGACGTGACTCTGGTGTATGGAGTCAGATCTGACTTCAGTGATCAGTTTCAGCTCCCTTCAGTCTTGCAGAGGCACCACCATTTGGAGGGTGCAAGTGAGACTCGACTCCTCCTCCTCCTTGGCTGTGAAGCTAGGGCTCGTATGCCGTGGACAAGGAGGTGGCACTGGGATCTTTCAGGGTGTAGGATGCTCTGTGAGATGGTTTTGACTGGCCAGGATGGGGAGGGGAGGAAAAAGCCCAGCTTGACATGAGGGGCCAGCAGTTAACAAAAGCCCACACAGAGGGAGGGCTGGTGCTGTATTCAGACACATGGATTCCAGCCCGGCCAGCTATTATGATAATATCTCCCTCTGATTTACAGAAGCCGCCCCCTCTGCGGGTCTGCCCTGGGAGCAGAAGTGACTCACCTCTGTGTAGCTCTGCTTTAGACTAAGCTGCTCTTCAGCATGTCCGCCACTTTCTCCGGCTCTGGGAACTTAAGCTTGCGAGGTGGCCCTTTCTTGATGCCGCTCCATAGCTCCACCGCTGAAATCCCAACAAAGCAGAGGGGGTTACCCGGCGATTGGGTTTGACTGTAGTAGACCCTAGACACTCCCACTGACAGAGATCAGGGACCCCCTCACACTGTGCCAGGTACTGCAGAGATCCCCACTGACATCAGGGCCCTAATGAGGCACCATCTCAGCCCCACAGAGCCCCGTCTGACCAATCAGGCAAGGGACATGAGGTACAAGCCATTTAGGATCCTGCTCACGCCACACAAGGAGCCCACCAGCCCCGCCTGTGCTGCAAAGCACCGCATGGGCATCTGTACCCCAGCATGCTGTCACCTGAGCACCTGCTCAGTCCTGTCTGTATCTCCTCCCCCCCATCAATGCACCCCTGACTCAGCACTGCTGTATGGAAGCCTCCGCACTTACTGCTTCCGTCCTCCTTCACCAGGGACACCTCGAAGCTGTTCCTGCGTGGCGTCTCAGGGTTAATCTCCACCACCACACTGGAGACAACGCGGCGCAGCGCCTGGCTCACGG